AGGATTTCTCTATGCCGCTGCTAATAAGGAAGACTTCACTACACTGGCTTGGTGTCTATGACGTTTAAGGATTGTCACTCTTCTTCAGCTCTGTAGCTTAACTAAACTGAGACAAAACTGGCTGTCTCAACTGAGAAAGGAATTCCTCTTTCTTTGTAGAATTTCATTTAGGGAAACAAAGAGAGTCTACATTGCTCCCACCTTAGTTCACATACTCCCTCTGCTGGGGATTGTGGTCATTGCCAGCTTCCTAAGCAGAGCTAAGTTCCTTTTCAAAGGTCTGATTAACAGGAATGGAAAGTCCAGCAGAGCCCTCTCAGGGTGCTTCTTCGCATATCCCACACGTCATGACTGTGGCTGCCCTCTGATGTTGTCTGCCCTGAGCAGCTAACCCTCCATGTCCTGTTGCCCAAGTGCTGCACACAGGACTTGAAATCTGATGCCAAGCTTAAAGACAAGCAGCGCCCCCCACTCCCCCATGAACTTTGGGTCCAGTGTCCTCACCTCTGTGGATCAGTGAGTGCTTACAGAGGACTGACTGAGCCTGGGAACATTTTATTCTCACTGTCTTTCTCAGAATGTAGGGCTCCATTCCGTTTACAAGGCTATAGTTTAGAAACAAAGTCAGAGTAACATTTGTTCTTTTGGACTAGAGCAGTGGTCCCCAACGTTTCTAACACTGCAGCCCTTTATACGGTTCCTCATGTTATGGTGACCCCAACTGTAAAATTTTCATTTCTACTTTGTAACTGTAATTTTGCTACTGTAATGTAAACATCTGGGTTTCCCATGGTCTTTGGTGACCCCTGTGAAAGGGTCATTTGACCCAGGGGTCGGGAGCCACTAGGCTAGATGAACTTAGCTACCTTCCCATCTTGTCTATAAGAAACACACTTCAGGTGCCGGAGAGATGGCTCAGAGGTTAAGAGCTCTTCCAAAGGTCCTGAGTTCAATTCCAGAAACCACATGGTGGCTCACAACCATCATAATGAGATCTGTATGCCCTCTTCTGGTGTGCAGGCATACATGCAGACAGAACACATAATAAATAAATCTTTTTAAAAAAGGGAAGAGCTGGGAGGTGGTGGCACATTCTTTAATCCTAGTACTCAGAAGGCAGAGGCAAGCTGATCTCTGTGAGTTCAAGACCAGCATGGTCTACAGAGCGAGTTCCAGGACAGGCTCCAAAACAATACAGAGAAACCCTGTCTCGAAAATAAATAAATAAATAAATAATGATTTTGAAGAGGAAGAAAGGAAGGAAAAGAAAGAAAAGCAGGAAGAAACACATTTCAGCCAGGCAGTGGTGGTGCACGCCTGGCTGAAATGAGATTCAGGACACCTGATCTACAGAATAAGTTCCAGAACAGCCAGGGCTACACCGAGAAACCCTGTCTCAGAGCTGCCCTAGTTTGCTTTCTGTTGCTGTGAAAAACACCATGACCAAAAGCAGCCTGGGGAGGAGAGGGTTATTTTAGTTTGCAGGTTATATGCATTTCCATCATCAGGGGAGTCAGGGAAGAAACTCCCGGTAAGAGCTTGAAGTGGAAAGCCTGGAGGAAGCTCCTTCCTTCCAAGCTTAAACCAGCTCCCTTTCTTATACCAGTAAGTCCAGTTGCCCCTGGGCAGTGCACCCACAGTGGGCTCCACATAGACATGCTCAAAGGCCAATCTGATGTAAGCAATTCTTAAATCAGGGTTCTCTCTTTCCAGATGTATCAAGGTGACAACCAAAATTAACCACCACAGCCACCTAAGTTTATTTTTTCACAGTTTGGGTATGCCATAAGCGAAGCATGTTGGGAAAAACTGCTTTCATACTCTGTCCTTTAGTAACCATAGTTTATTGTCATGTTGGGGAAAAACTGCTTTCATACTCTGTCCTTTAGTAACCATAGTTTATTGTCATGTTGGGGAAAACTGCTTTCATACTCTGTCCTTTAGTAACCATAGTTTATTGTCATGTTGGGGAAAAACTGCTTTCATACTCTGTCCTTTAGTAACCATAGTTTATTGTCATGTTGGGGAAAAACTGCTTTCATACTCTGTCCTTTAGTAACCATAGTTTACTTAGTAACCATAATTTATGTTGGGGAAAAACTGCTTTCATACTCTGTCCTTTAGTAACCATAGTTTATTTAGTAACCATAATTTATGTTGGGGAAAAACTGCTTTCATACTCTGTCCTTTAGTAACCATAGTTTATTTAGTAACCATAATTTATGTTGGGGAAAAACTGCTTTCATACTCTGTCCTTTAGTAACCATAGTTTATTTAGTAACCATAATTTATGTTGGGGAAAAACTGCTTTCATACTCTGTCCTTTAGTAACCATAGTTTATTGTCATGTTGGGGAAAAACTGCTTTCATACTCTGTCCTTTAGTAACCATAGTTTATTGTCATGTTGGGAAAAACTGCTTTCATACTCTGTCCTTTAGTAACCATAGTTTATTGTCATGTTGGGGAAAAACTGCTTTCATACTCTGTCCTTTAGTAACCATAGTTTATTGTCATGTTGGGGAAAAACTGCTTTCATACTCTGTCCTTTAGTAACCATAGTTTATTGTCATGTTGGGAAAAACTGCTTTCATACTCTGTCCTTTAGTAACCATAGTTTATTGTCATGTTGGGGAAAAACTGCTTTCATACTCTGTCCTTTAGTAACCATAGTTTATTGTCATGTTGGGGAAAAACTGCTTTCATACTCTGTCCTTTAGTAACCATAGTTTATTGTCATGTTGGGGAAAAACTGCTTTCATACTCTGTCCTTTAGTAACCATAGTTTATTGTCATGTTGGGGAAAAACTGCTTTCATACTCTGTCCTTTAGTAACCATAGTTTATTGTCATGTTGGGAAAAACTGCTTTCATACTCTGTCCTTTAGTAACCATAGTTTATTGTCATGTTGGGGAAAAACTGCTTTCATACTCTGTCCTTTAGTAACCATAGTTTATTGTCATGTTGGGGAAAAACTGCTTTCATACTCTGTCCTTTAGTAACCATAGTTTATTGTCATGTTGGGAAAAACTGCTTTCATACTCTGTCCTTTAGTAACCATAGTTTATTGTCATGTTGGGGAAAAACTGCTTTCATACTCTGTCCTTTAGTAACCATAGTTTATTGTCATGTTGGGGAAAACTGCTTTCATACTCTGTCCTTTAGTAACCATAGTTTATTGTCATGTTGGGGAAAAACTGCTTTCATACTCTGTCCTTTAGTAACCATAGTTTATTGTCATGTTGGGAAAAACTGCTTTCATACTCTGTCCTTTAGTAACCATAGTTTATTGTCATGTTGGGGAAAACTGCTTTCATACTCTGTCCTTTAGTAACCATAGTTTATTGTCATGTTGGGGAAAAACTGCTTTCATACTCTGTCCTTTAGTAACCATAGTTTATTGTCATGTTGGGGAAAACTGCTTTCATACTCTGTCCTTTAGTAACCATAGTTTATTGTCATGTTGGGGAAAAACTGCTTTCATACTCTGTCCTTTAGTAACCATAGTTTATTGTCATGTTGGGGAAAAACTGCTTTCATACTCTGTCCTTTAGTAACCATAGTTTATTGTCATGTTGGGGAAAAACTGCTTTCATACTCTGTCCTTTAGTAACCATAGTTTATTGTCATGTTGGGGAAAAACTGCTTTCATACTCTGTCCTTTAGTAACCATAGTTTATTGTCATGTTAGGGAAAACTGCTTTCATACTCTGTTCTTTAGTAACCATAGTTTATTGTCATGTTGGGAAAAACTGCTTTCATACTCTGTCCTTTAGTAACCATAGTTTATTGTCATGTTGGGGAAAAACTGCTTTCATACTCTGTCCTTTAGTAACCATAGTTTATTTAGTAACCATAATTTATGTTGGGGAAAAACTGCTTTCATACTCTGTCCTTTAGTAACCATAGTTTATTTAGTAACCATAATTTATGTTGGGGAAAAACTGCTTTCATACTCTGTCCTTTAGTAACCATAGTTTATTTAGTAACCATAATTTATGTTGGGGAAAAACTGCTTTCATACTCTGTCCTTTAGTAACCATAGTTTATTGTCTGTTTTCTAAGCCGCAAAATGTGTAACATTCAAAACAAGAATGTATGTCCTGGTGAGGGAGCTGAGGCTCAGAGTTTTGAATAACTAATTCATTTGGCCCATAGATAGTTATAAGCAGGAAGTGCAGTTAGGTCTAAGTGGTGAAAAGAGAAAGCCTTTTAAACAGACTGCATGGTAATCTAAGTGATAGGAATGTAAAAGCAGCCAGGCAGTGGTGGCGCACGCCTTTAGTTGCAGCACTCGGAGGCAGAGGCAGGTGAATCTCTGTGAGTTCCAAGCCTGATATAGACAGCGAGTTCAAGGACAGGCTCCAAAGCTACATAGAGAAACCCTGTCTTGAAAAAAACAAACAAACAAACAAAAACATAGGAATGTAAAAGCATAGAACCCTGGTGTAAAGTCGATGGGCGGTGGTGGCGCACACCTTTAACCCAGCACTCAGGGGGCAGAGGCAGGCGGATCTCAATGAATCGGAGGCCTGGTTTACAGAGTGAATTCCAGAACAGCCAGTGCTACACAGAGAAACCCTGTCTCGTAAAACTAAAAACAAAACAAAACAAAAAGTCATGACACCTGGACTATACTATCCTAAACCTGTATCACTCTGGAAGCTGCTGTTGGCAAAAATTTGAAAGCAGATATATCAGGATTCTGGCGGACACCCCAAGGCTAACTGTGGCTACATGGCCATCGAGGAATGAAGGTTCCTACTGTTTCACTGTCAGGGTGCAAAGCTCCCGTCCACAAAGTTCCGTCAGGGTCCCATCACTCCTTTATCTTACACAACTCTAGAGCCACTGCACTCTGGCCTATGAAGCGGGACATGCAGGCATATTTGGGATGCCACATTATTACCGTGACTAAGACTAGGGAACCTGTCTGTTGAGTGGCCAGAAACTGTGGTGGATGCTCCTCACTGCCTGTCTTATACGTTTCCAAACCACATAGGCAAGCGACGGAAATCTAACCCAAAACCTCTTGTTCTGAGTGAAGCTAGAAAGCAGTTAATGATCTACAGACTACCTCAGGTCCTCCGGCTGCACCTTAAAAGATTCAGGTGAGCTTTGGGCAGAGCTACCTCCAGGGCTTGGGGAGGACAGATGGCTTTTTTGTTTTTTTTGTTTTGTTTTGTTTTGGTTTTGGTTTTGGTATGGGACAGAGAAGCTTGTTCCTGTGGTGTCTTTCACTTGCTGTGAAGAGTCAATGGTTCTTGTCCAGTAAAAAGAGCTGATGCTGAGCTGGGCAGTGGTGGCACATCCCCTTAGTTCCAGCACTCGTGAGTTCAAGGCCAGCCTGGTCTACAGAGCCAGTTCCAGGATAGCTTCCAAAGTTACACAGAGAAACCCTGTCTCGAAAAACCAAAAAATAGTAAAAGGAAGGAAGGAAGGAAGAAAAGAAGAGCTGATGTTGGGCCAGCGGCCTGGACTTCAGATCTCTTGCCTTGTTTAATTGCTAGCTTGCACCTAATGTCTGCCAATAATCTCCTCCCCTTGTTTGGGTTTATGCAAATCCATCCTAAGGATGCAGATAAAATAACAGTGAATGGGCAAGTAACAGACTATACAGAGACCATGCCTGAATTGTTTACTTTTTCTTTGTTTTTGTTTGTTTATTTTGTTTTTCGAGACAGGGTTTCTCTGTGGCTTTGGAGGCTGTCCTAGAACTAGCTCTTGTAGACCAGGCTGGTCCCGAACTCACAGAGATCTGCCTGCCTCTGCCTCCCGAGTGCTGGGACTAAAGCATGCACCACCACCCGGCCTGAACTGTTTCTTTAATGGTTTGTAGGTTCAAATACTCCATTTCACAGCAGATATACACTACACGTGGGTTTGATTAGTAGAGGGCAAAAGCAAAAAAAAAAAAAAAAGCTATTTTCTTACTTCCCTGCTTAACTAACTTACACTAGTCTGAGTAAAAAATTCATTTCCATGTCCTAGGTGGTCTGGCCGTAATCATCGAGAAAAGATTGGGGTCCATGTCGTCTTTGACCAGGTATTAACCATGGAACCTTACTGCTGCAGGGACATGCTCTCCTCTCTTGACAAAGAGACCTTTGCCTATGATCTCTCCGCAGTGGTCATGCATCACGGGAAAGGGTTTGGCTCAGGACACTACACAGCCTATTGCTACAACACAGAGGGAGGTGCGTGCGCTTTACTCTGTGGGGGCGGGGACATGGAAAAGGGTTGATTTGTTCACACTTTATTGCTTTTCATTATTTCCATCCCCCTGGGTCAGCTAGGGACAAATGAAATACATTAGAATTTAGTGAGAAGCCTTCTGCAAGTCGGGGTTTGGTAAGGATGTAAGGTTATGCTAGGAATGAACAGAACTACCCACATCAAAGCATTTGACCCGGTGCTAGAGGTTAGCGTTAGCACAGTATCATTGGTAGTACTGATTATCAGTGGGGTTACTGTGGCTATGGGGATGGTAATTATGCAGACCTGAGCTTCCTTCTTGGTCATGCAGAAATAATGGGGCCTTGGTCATATGTTATAAATCTTTAGCCTCACTCAAATAACTCTGAGGACATTGGGGCACTTTCTGAGGAGTGTGGGTATCAAGGGCCCTCCAAAGGAGCTTCAGCCCTACCCTGGGGCAGTCTCCAGCTGCTGCACTATAAAGATGGCTGGGATATAAACAAGTACCGCTATCACTCCCCTCTATTCCAGCTCTCTTCCCCTCTTCCTCTGCTTACTCCAGATTATCCTGGCTTGCTCTGGAGGCTTTAGTAGACATTAACAAGACATAAAAGAAACAAGGACAAAAATTGGTCTGTCAGTACTGTAGGCAAGAGTCTTTCTGGTGTTTGGTGGGGCGAAAGCCCAGGGTTATGGGAAGCATGGTGTCATTCACATGTCCCTCCCTCCCCATGGTCAGAAGGTGGCTCTGTTCCCCCATCTCCTGTGCACCTGTCTAGAAGTGTAAATAAACTAGGTCATCATTTTCTCTTTCTCTCGTTTGGCTTCCTAGGTTTCTGGGTCCACTGCAATGACTCAAAGCTGGATGTGTGCAGTGTCGAGGAAGTGTGCAAAACCCAGGCCTACATCCTTTTTTATACTCGAAGAACAGTTCAGGGCAGTGCGAGACTCTCAGAACCCCAACTCCAAGCTCAGGTGCAGTCCAGCAGCAAGGACGAAGGCAGAACATACACATTCCCCTGACTAGGAGACATGCATCAAAATGCCCTTACATTTTTCCTCTTGGATAATAAGGCTTGCCACAGGAACAAATTGCTGGGTTTGCCTCACTGGGCCTAGAGGAGACAATGCCAGGTGATTCCTGCCCTGTCAAAAATTGGTAGTCACTTTCTTTTGAAATCTTTTGGAAATTCCCTCCTTTCATAAAACAAATCTAAAGGAGTAACTTCTATGAAGATTCTTTTGTCAGTTGCTTCTGGATAATAGAGGGATGGAGGGCGGGGGGGGAGTGATCATCCAGCCAGGAGAGCAGCCATGTCTGTTCTCTTGTCATGAGCCCCTTACTAATCAGGACCTCCCTGCAGCACTGCACAGAGCAGTGAGGAGGGCCCCAGGCTGGCAGCTGGTGGAAAAGATTGGTTCCAAAGTGGAAGGTGAAGTCACAGCATTTATTCGCACAAAAGAGGTGACCATGAAGGATCACAGCTTGCAAGCTTCCTTTTTTAGGAGAGAAGTTGGAGAGTGGGGTGAGGAGCATAGAGCAGATTTCCCGTTCCAAATGGGAGGCTCTCAGAGGTAGGCAGGCTTCTTTGGAGCTGCTGCCGTCTTCTCCTTACTCTACACTGGTGAGACAGGGTGTGAGCCACCCTTCCTTTTGAGGAGGCAGACATAGGAGGAGGCACAGACCAGTGCATAGTTGGTCTGCCCATGTCCCCTAGTTCCCCAGTAGGACCCTGGCTCAGGTCTGGAGCCAGCACATGGTTGGTTCAGATTGGTCTTTGGGTCAGAGTTCAGTGAAGGTGAGTGGGGACTGTCCCAATGCCTGCTGCCCCCAGGGTCTCATCTTTTTGGTGTGCGGCTTCTTCCCTGCACCCAGAACATTGGGCTCACAAGGTTTGGGAGCTTTAGCTTCCCTAGCTAGGGTGTGAATGTGTGCCCCATTCTTGCTCATGCCCTGGCCTCTTCTCTTCCTAATCTGCTACTTATTCTCACCTGCTGCTCTGGCCACCTGCCCTGGGTCCACGAAAGGTACACGAGACTCCCATCTTTCACTCTGCTATTAGTAAAAACACATCTTTCAAATTGGTCCATTTCTAACTGGAATTAGACACAGAGTAGACCCTCATTCTCTTTGCGATGGCCTTTTTAGTGACACAGCGTCTCCTATGAACAATAGCTCCAGTGACAACTGATGGGAATGGATAGGGACGGTAGTTGAAGGGTGGGGACAAGGAAGCACTGCTGTTCCTGTAGCATTTACTGTTGCCCTCATTTGAAATGAGCTCTCCCATTGGCCTGCCAAACATCACTGAGACATAGAAGAAATCAGACAGAAAATGGCTCCCCCAACAGGGATGGTATGGCTAGATTTAAACTTGCTTTTTTACAACGCTGTGAGGTTTCTGTATTTAGCTTTTATTTGGAAGCGATAATGTATGGCATTTTTGTGCTGTTTGCTTTTTACTGTCTACTGCAGGCTTTGTTGTGAGCTTTGCATGGCCTCCTCCTCTCCAGGACACTGTTTTAAAGTGTCTGATGGTCCATGCTGCCTGTGGTTCTGATAGAAAGCTGTACCCTGAGGTCCATATCACCACGGTGCAAGGTGGTGATGATGTGTTGCCATGGTAGGAAAGCCCATTCAAACACACGTCAGGTGGTCTGGTACACCCCTGGAAGGCCAGCACTTGCTAGGCTGAGGCAGGAGGATTATGAGTTTCAGGCTACATTGTGAGACCCTGTCTGAAAAACAAAAATAACAAACCATTGAGAGTAAAAAAGGAAACAAGACTAAATTGTACCTCATCTTAAACCCTGTGGTGTTTGTTTAGAAAGAGAACTTGCACTTGCATGCAGAGAATACATTTGTCTGTCTAGAGGGGAATACATTAATCAATATAAGCACTTAAAGGAAAATTAGAAGGTTCTAATTCAGTTTTTTTTTGGTTTTTTTTTTTTTTTTTTTTTTTTTTTTTTGGTTTTTCGAGACAGGGTTTCTCTGTGGTTTTGGAGGCTGTTCTGGAACTCGCTTGGTAGTCCAGGCTGGTCTCGAACTCACAGAGATCCGCCTGCCTTTGCCTCCCGAGTGCTGGGATTAAAGGCGTGCGCCACCAACGCCCAGCTTCTAATTCAGTTTTTTAAAAAAAGTTTTATAGCAACTATCAGCAAGACTGGTAAGCATATTGGGGACTTTATAAATATTTAGCTGACCTGAACACCCACATATGAGAAACCAGCTGTCTCCACTGAGCCCCCTCATGAAGGTGCCACTGCAACCACAGACAACACCTCAGGCACCAGAAGCAGCAGCATGAGAGTTAGGGACTTGGTGTTTAAGGAGATCTCTGTTGCAGAAGCCTGTGTGCTGTGTTGTCCTCTGCCTCTGGTGTCTGCAGAGCCAAAGCAGAGGACACTGTCAGTTACATCACACAGCGACATTCTAAAGAAAGAGCAGATAAACCGTGACTGGCTGGCTCCAGGTCAAATGCCGGGTGCTGCTCTCCCAGTCGCACTCTCTGTGAGCCCTCTGTGATTGGCTGGTGTGTTTACTTACCATTGTAGCCAGCCAAGAAGAATCCACCCCAGCCCTCAAAAACGATCTTACCTCAGTCTAGCCTGGCCCTCGTGCTTGTGGCTGCCTCTTAACAGCAGCACCCATGCTAGTGCAAACGTAGCCGGGATGCCTTGGCAGCCAGGAATTGCAGCTCTTATCAAATGGCAGGCATAGCTCTTGCCAGCTTTAGCCAGCCCCTCTGGCCGAAATGGGAGGGCAGTTGCCACATGGTGAAGAACTAGATGTCTCTAAAAATGTCATGAATAAAACTGGAAACTGTAGAAGTGTTCATGTGTCCTATGGACTCAATAGCAGAGTTTATTTTTGTTCACAACAGCAAGGCTTCTAGAGTCCATGATTGTATGAGTCCCCTGCTCTGGCTTTGTCTTCAGCTCCATCCACATCCAGGGGAAAAACCAAGGAGGTGGACTGGCTGGCAGTGTCCCAGGGTTAGCAAAGAGGTCGAGAGTAGTGCAGAATGAAGACTTGGGTGGGGTGGGGTGGGGGAAGCAAGGGAGATCTGAAATTTGTTTTACTGCTACAGCTTTGTGAACTAATTTTATACAATTCATGAAATTTGGTGCCTTGTACTTAATTACAGTTTGCATGAGATTGAAGTTAAGGAAAAGGGTTCCTTTTTGTTATGTCAAGTGGCAGATGGATCTGTAGTGTCCACAGGATATGTGCTGTCAGATTTTATAGAACATTGTTTTCTCTTGTGCATGAATGCAATTGCTCTTACCAGCAGCGAGTTGTAGAGTCTCAGTGTCCATAACCGTTTGTATTTGCAGTCAGCCATCAAATGGCTGCTTTTCAAGGCAGTCAGCACACACCATTGTTGTTCATTGCCTCTTGTGTTTGCCAAACAGCAGTGCTGGCCTTGTCTGGAAATGACCCTTTCCTGGATGCCTATCACATCCCTCCCTGCGGTTGCAGCTTATGTGTGTAAGGGTTTCTAGCTACATGGGAGAGCCAAATGATCAAAAAAGCTTTTATGAAAACCATGACTGAAGCTAGGCAATCATCGGCAGGTATCGTCACCAATTCTGAAGTCCTGCACAAACCATCAGGATGCTTCCCCCACATGTGAACCTTTAGTTTGTAAGACAGACCAGTACACTGTAATTTGCAGAGTGAGTGAAGCAAAAATGATTGATGTCCCTGTCACCGCTACCCTGAAGACTTTCTGGGCAGATGCAACCGGGATAGTGCTAAGTGGCTGTAGATCGCAAGACGCGGTCTGTTGTCAGGGCTGCACAGCCTGGTTCTTTCGCTCCAACCGTAAGGTTTCTACTGAGCTTATGAGACTCCCCCAAAGATGTTGACAGGCTCACTATTCAAAGCACACTCGGTAAATGGGTTCCTCAACCTAGTTCCTGTATCTTCAGGGTGAAATTTCCAAAGGCCACTTGGTTTTTTACCAGCTAAGTGTGGGTCTCTCCAGTGGTTCTGTCAGTGCTAAAGCACCTTATCAAGACTGTGAGCCTTGTCTCTTCCACACCCCTGCTGCTCAGTCCAGGGCTGTCACTTTAACCTCTACGTACTTGTCAGCCCACACATGGCTCTAAATACACCCTAGCTTAGCTATGAGGCAAGTGGTCACTTTTGTTAACTGTCCATACTTAATCTGTCATGTTTCATTTAAATACAGCTAGTGCTTGAGCACTTAGCTAGCATGCTTGAGGCCCTGGGCTCCACCCAGCCCCACTAAACCAGTTTAAATAAAACTGCCAGGCCAGCATTATGGCTTCAAACAGCAACAGTAAAGTTACCTGAAATTATACCTTAAACTTGGATTGAAATTTCATTTCAATTATACTTTTGAAAGCTATCTTAATTCTTTAAAGATTCTTTTTCAACATAGAAATTTTAATGAAATAAAACTACTTAGTTACAGGATCATATAGCAAACTTTAAGGTTTCATTCCTCAAAAAAATAAAAAAAACAGGCTGCTATTTCCTGGATTAGCCAAGGTCATGTGGGGTTCTGCATCTTTCATACAGCTTCCTATTCACCCTTTGGGCCTTTGAAAGTAATTGCTTCAAACCCAAGCCTTATCCCTGTATTCATATTTATGGCCCTGCCCTCTCTAATCCCCCCACCCTTTTTTATTTGTTTTCAAGACAGGGTTCCTCTGTATTGTTTTGGAGCCTGTCCTGGAACTCACTCTGTAGACCAGGCTGGCCTTGAACTCACAGAGATCCACTTGCCTCTGCCCCCCCCCCCCAGTACTGGGATTAAAGGCGTGTGCCACCAACCCTCCAGCTAAATTCTAGGGTCTTAATTCATGTTAAGCCAGTTCTAGGTCTGAATTTACTCAATTTCTCCCAACCATCATCACACAGGTTCTACCTGATATACATTCACAAGAAAATGGTAAACCCCACCCTATATATGGCTAGGCATGTAGCTCAGTAAAGTGCTTGCCTGGAAAGCCTAAGGCTCAGAGTTTGATCCCAGCACCACACAAAATCCTAACGATTGATTGGTGGAGGCAGCAGGATAGTTCAAGGCTATCTTCAACTATGTACTTAAGTTTGAGGCCAGCCTGGGCTACATTACCCTGCTTCAAAAACAAAAACAAAACTTTTCCAATTGCCTTCCCCGCCCCCTTTCTAGGTGTTTGGAAGTCAAATTCATGAGTTTTCTGCAGTGAGCTATGCTCCTGGGCCCCAGATAGATTGAATGAAATGTATACCAGCAGATCTAGGAGAGGCTAGAGGTAACGTGTCAGCACGCAGCCGTGGTCCAGTTACACTGACCCTTTCTCACACATGCCCTGTAATCCAAGACCAGTTCTAAGGGGGCCTTGGCACACAAAAGCGGTATTTTTTTAAATGCCCAATAAATTGACTAAATGAAACTACGGAGAGCCTATTTCTAGCACCGCCTTGTCCCGTGAGCACAGGAGCCTTTCCTTCTTGGTTCATGTGCTCCAAAGAACACCAGACAGTGGCACCAGCATGAGTCGTGGGGAGGAAGCTTCCTTACGCCCAGTAATGAGTTTGCCAATACCCACACATCAGTGCCCTATTCTGCCACCAATCCCACTCCAACAACAGTGCCTTCCTGATGCCTGGAAAGCACACCTGGTAAACCAAAATGCCAAACACCACCAAGAGGCTTCTTCCCCCAGGACTGCTCAATAGAACCATCGGCTTTGAGGCTTGTCTGCATCCCTGTGCAGTGGGTGGTTCCCTTTCAGCTTCTTTTTATCCGTTTCTAAAATGAGGCACAACGTCTCCATTACAATCCATGTTTGGGGCTCATACCTGTCTCTTGAGTGTGAATACAAATTATGTTTTTTGATTTTGTAAACTGACCTTTTTACACCTTGGTTTTGAAAGAAGTTTCTTATTAAAAGAATAAAACGTCTGTCTTTGTGTGCAGGTTTTATTTGAAATATTTTCCAAGAACCATTACTAGACCTCAGGACATGGGCAAAGATCACCCTCTGCAGAAACTTGGAAACTGCACAGAGAACTGTGCAGAGGTAACGTTTAAGCCAGGGCTGGGGACTGGCCAGGGGTGGAGATTCAGGCAAGGAGAGGAGTGGAATCCACTTCAGCTGCCACGGGGCAGTATCCTGTGGTCACAGACAGTAAGTTGTCTTTGGGAAGTTTGAGTACACAGGATTTCCATTATCTGCAACCAGATAACAGGTAGTGTTAGAAATGGGGAAAACACAAGAAGAAAATTGCTTTCACCTAGAAACCCAAGGGAGAGGATTTACATCAAGTCTCCCTCCTCCCTGTGAATAGCTGACAGAACACATTGTTGCTGTCATCTTTCACGACTTGTGAAACAGGCAAAGTTAAGCGCTTACTTGGCTACACCCCTGGCTGAGGCGCCATCAAATCAATGTCACTCAAGTTCCTGGCCAGCCAAACTCCCGCAGCAAACAGTCCCAAATTGAGGATCAAGTTCCTGGGTAGAGAATATATTTCATTAACCCTGAAGTCACTGAGTCTCAGGAAGCTAATGACACACCATGGGAAGTTTCCCCTCAACACCACTTTCTAAGGGTGTTGATGAACACCACCCGATACAGTAGCATGTCGCTCAATAAGCACGTGAGAATTTGAAGTTTACATCTATTCCTAACACAAACGGGCCACCTTAGCACTCTTCCAGGGCTATAACTCCCGTTTAAGTGTTGGCACCTCTTCCTGCCTCGTAGGTCGGGGCCACTTTTTTTTTTTTTTTTTGGTTTTACGAGACAGGGTTTCTCTGTATTGTTTTGGAGGCTGTCGGTCCAGCCTGGCCTCGAACTCACAGAGATCCGCCTGCCTCTGCCTCCCGAGTGCTGGAATTAAAGGTGTACGCCACCACCACCCGGCCGGGGCCACTTCTTAAAACGATTACATTCATTCATTAAGTGTGCGATCCTGTATGTTCACACATGCAACTGTGGAACAGAGTACAACCCTCAGTCCCAGAGATCGAACTCATGTCCTCAGGCTTGGCGGCAAGCGCCTTCACTCGCTGAGCCATCGCTACAGCCCACGGCTAGAACCACGTGACACATGTCTTTGCCATCAGGACATTTTCTGAGCCTACGGTCTCAACAAAACACAGAAAGCCACCACGAGACCACTGTGCTGTCAATGTGGTAAAATCCCTCGGAATGCCAGGCTCACCAGGAAGGGAAACACAAGTTTATTAAGCCAGAGGGGCAGCCTCGGTTACCTCCGGAAGTCGTTCCTATCCGTGGCGAAGCGGTACACACCGCGGAGCCAGTCTCCCACGTTGTCTGGAACCTCGGGGGCCTCGCTGGCCGAGCCGGGAGCGCTCACCGTCACCCCGCTAGAAGCCATAGCAGCACCGAGCGCCTCCTCCGCACTGGCTGCGGGCGGCGCACAGTCGGCGCAGACCGATCACGCAATTTCCGACTCCGCACTTCCGCCGGCCGGCAATGAGAGACGAGAAGGCCCGCCCCCGACCGTATCCACGAGTTCAGAGCTTGAAGCCCAGGTCGGAGGTGGAGCCCTGCTCGCTACCCCACCTCCTGAGGCCTGGAGCATCAGTGCCGTTAGTTTAAGCCAGGTGCTGACGCTGGGGCTAGCCCGTCCCGTGGGGATAGGGGCTAGCTCTCCTAGGAAGCTCCAGGGTGGGGTGTCCCCAAGAAAGTTTTCTTCAGGCTAGAGAGCGTGCGGTGCGGATGGACTGCCCGCGTGTCTGACTGCCTCCAGGCTGGGTCCTTCACGCAGAACAGTCTTGTTAGCCCGCTTCACAAGTCCCCGTCTCACCACGCTCATCTCCGGGCCGCGCTACTAACAAATGGTGCAGTGCTTCCTGGAGATGTCTCTGTCGTCTGCCTGGAGGGTTTCGGGGGTCTCCCAGGGACCTGGAAGGCGCTGGCCGAAGAAAAACCCCTCGGGTTCCGACTCGGAGGAAGAGGAGCAGGTGGGGCAGGGGCTGTTATCTTTGGGGTTTCCGGGCGCCTGTGGGCGGTCTCGCTCCTGCCCTTTGGACGCCGGACCCGGGGTTTGCAGGGTGGGGCTGGCGACTGTAGAGGAGTCCGAGTCCTTGTCATCCGAGGAGGCACGGTTCCAGCCGACGCTTGGATCGGGTCCTGTTTCCCCTGTTCCAGACCGGTTAGAAATGCCCGAGCCACCCCCCAAATCCCTGTGCTAGAGGCGGGCCAGGGTTGCGTGCAGCCTCCCGCCCCGCCCCAGGCTGTGCCGTGCGCGCCGCCGCTGCCGCGAGTCTACCCCAGGGGCCCCCGCCTCCGTCCACCAGTGGGCGACCGCGTCCCCCGCCCGGGAGCGAGTCTGGCGCCGCAGCCCCGCCGGGTGGGTTCAGGAGGCCTTCGGAGCACGCAGGCCTGGGACGCGCGGTGAGAGCTGCGGGCCCCGATGCTCGCGTCTGGGGGTTGCGGTGGGAGGACGGGGCGCTGCAGGGGCGGGTAGGACAGCATGGGGATGGGACGAGGGGTTCTGGCCCGGGAGATCCCCCCCTTCTATGCTCAGCCTAAGCCGCCGCCCCCTCCCCCTTCACATCTGCACCGTCCCTCCTTTACCAAGGGACGCTTGCCCTTCCAGTGCCCCTTCTGAGTTAGAGCCTGCACTCTGGTAGCGGCTCTCGAAGCAGCTGGGGCAGCAGGGGCTACCCCCGGATAGGGCATAACGACCTGCACCCAGAGGCCCGGCGCAGTCTTGGCAGCAGAAGTGGTTCTCGTGCCAGCGCCGTCCCTCGGCCTCGGTGCAGCGCTGAGAGAAGATCAGCTGAGAGGTTGAGGAAAACAAGATTGAGTCGTTCGTTCATTCATTCACTCACTCATTCATTCATCCATCCAGTAACCACACCTTATACCCATTAACGCTAAAAAGAAAAAATGCCCACAGGCATTCCGATTTGGAGCACTTTGTTACTCTTGGATTCAGGGAGGGTGACTGGCTTTGGCCAGATCCTCCCTTCACGTAGCAGGTGGCACAGCCAGAAGTTGGACCCCAGGGCTTCCCCGACTCCCAGCCCAAGGCGCAGTACTGTCTTTCATGTTGATGTCAGGGTCTTTCTAGCATGGTCGAGATCAGCAAGGAGCATCTAGCATAGTGATGAGGTTAACTATCTATTTCAAGAATCCAGACACGTTCTGAGTCCAAACTAATTTAAGGACCTCTGCTTGAACTGGGAGAGGGCAGAAAAAGGCAGCAGGTCCCACGTGGCCGCCCGGAGCTCAAGGGAACACAGGCAACGAAGCGGCCCTGGCTGCTTCCTAGTTCTCTCTGCCCTCTCCCCACTTCTGCTAGAAGAACCTGTAGCCTAGGAGGGCGTTCCCTGTTCCCACACTGCTGGCCCTGGGGAAGATTCCTCTAGTGTCTCCCCTTTGCTCTACCTGGTCACAAGCGGGACATCGAGGTCGCAACAGCTCTGCGTGATGGCGGCCACAGTAGAGATGCCCGTCGTGGTAGAAGTAGATGAGGTTTATCAGGGCCTGACCACAGGTCTGGCAAGCAAAACAGAGTCTGTGCCAGCAGCACTGCTCCCCAGCCCTGGCCGCAAACACTCCGTACTCTCCTGGCCTCAGCAGCTTCTTGCACTGGCAAAGCAGGGGCGCCGGGCTGGTGAGGACCTGAGCCTGCTTAGCTGGGCTCTTCAACCACAGCCCCCATCTGACTGCTGGGATGGTGCTGCAGGCACACCTCCACAGAGGCCAGCTCCCCAAACCTGCCTCCGCCTGTCCCCAACACAGACCAAACCACTGAACCTGAAGCATTTCCCGCTAAGCTCCCCAAAACCCTTTCTGCAGAAGCGGGCAGGCAGAGGGTGCAGGAAGGGGAAGGCTCTGGGGTGGAGAAGGGAGAGACATACTCCCTACCTTCTCACAGGTGTGCCCTGCAAGCTTGGGAGGTAGCAGGCGGGCTACCCCCTGTCCCAGGGATTGCTGCCTTCGCTGGGCACAGAAGAGTCGCAGCTGGGCCAGTTCCTCCTCCCCTAGGGCCAGACAGTAGCGCTCCTGCAGAAACAGGCCCCCATCCATCCAGACCTCAGGCTAGACCACTACTAGGGTTGAAATGTTCTCTAAGGCTTAGATGCTGGGTCGGAGAGAGGTAGGAGGGAGAGAACACATGCGCTTGAGAAGGAGGGAAGAAAAGATAATTTCGTGCTTGGGTTCTCTGCTGTCGTGGACATGGCTGTCACTCAGGGCTGCATCCACTTAGCACCATCACCAGATAGCATGGCTGTTGTTTCACCGGTTTTGTCCGCTTCATGGACTGCCCTGCCTCCCCTAGTGAATTGTAAGCCTTCAGGCTACACATGGTGGGGCCTCAATAAACACTAAACAACCATATTTCTACATTTGTGCATTCCATTCTTGATTTCAAATGCCGTTCATGTCCATTTTCCCATTTGCTCTTGAGCCTGATAAGCACTGTGAGATGCAGGACACGTGCTGCTGTACCTGTTATTAGGTGTGGGAACTCAAGCTAAGGGGAGCGACTCCCTCCAGCTACTGGCAGGCAGAACCAGGCCTCTTAGTCAAACCTCCTGAATTCTAGACCAATGCTCTTTCTTCACAGTGAGTAACAAGGTGTGGAGAGGGAGTGGAGGAGGAGAGAGGGGGCACAGAAGGGTGACCCACATCACTGTCCTGTGGAGGAAGCTGCTGCAGGAGAGTCCGGAACCCAGGCCAGTTGGAGGCTTGGTTGATATCCAGGCAAGGTAGGCCCAAACTTGAGCCTGTAGGAGCCTGAGGAGAGATAGGAGGAGAAGAAGGGTACTGGGTTTTCCCTTCCTCTCCCTTGTCCTCATCACCTTCCTTTCGATCTACAGCAACTCCCAAGCATCCCTCTCCACTTGGAGGGAAACCCTGCCTGTCCATCACTGAGCAAGAACAGTAGATCTGCCAGGTGGTGGTGGTGCAGGCCTCTAATCCCAGCAGTCAGGCAGAGGCGGGTGGATTCCTATTAAAGCTTGGTCTACAGAGTAAGTTCCAGGACAGCCAGGGCTACACAGAGAAACCTGTTTCAGCCAAAAAGAAAGGAAAAAAGGGACAGTAAGTCTACCCCTGACCTGTGGTCTGCCTGGAAGGAGCCCCAAACACCATTCCATATGTTCGAAGCTCCCCATTCACCCACTCACTCCCTGGAGCCAAGCCTCTGACAGCTAAGACAGACCCAGGACAGGTACTATATGTTTACAGGATGGATTTCAAGTCAAGCCCCTAATTCCTAAAAGAGAACAGGTCTACAAAGAGTTAGGCAAAGCAGAGGGGGTGTGCATCCCTATAATTCCTCCCACTAGGATCTTGAGGTAGGAGGACTGAAAGTTCCAGGGCTTGCCTAGAAGTTGAGAGTGGGCAGGCTCAGCAGGTAAAGGCACTTAACGCCAAGTCCAAGTTTGAGTCCCTGGGCCCACATGTCGGAGAAGAGAGCTGACTCTGACAGGTTGTCCTCTGACCTCCACACATGCTGTGACACACAACATGCACACATTAAATAAATACTTAACAGTTTGGGGGTTTTATTTTGCTTTGAAACAGAGTGTCTCTCTGTAGCCCTGGATGGCCTAGAACTTGATAGTCGATATATAGACCAGGCTGGCTTTGTTCTCTCAGAGATCTGCCTGCGTCTGCCTCCTGGGTGCTGCTGGGACAAAGGTGTGCACCACCACACTTGGCTAATAAAGGTTTGGGTTTTGTTTTAAAGAAAAATGGTTGGTAGGAGGGGATGAGGGCCAGAGGATGAGTGCATGGTGGTCTCGGAAAGAGTGTGACTCCTACCTGACCAGAGGTGTCCTCATAGCCTTCCACTAGCTGGTGGCCTGGGTCACTGTCTGAGCTGACAGGTGAATCTGGCTCCCTGAAGATAGGACTGTCCTGTTGGAGGGACCAGTCAGAATTCTGAACTGACATTGGTGACAGTCTTCCTAAAAAAACAAAAATCCACAAGAACGCCTCATTCAGTAAGCCTTTCTGGCATGCCAGGCAATGCAAGGTGCTTTGTAAGTGTGACCTCACAGTCTTGTCAACAGCCAGGTGACTTAGGTAGCATTGTCCCCATCCTACAGATGGCCCATCTGGGGCTCAGAGAGCACTGATGTATGTGTATGTGTATATGTATGTATCTCCAAGGCCAAACAGCTGATAAGTGGCAGAGTCAGATCTTTTAGCCCCTGAGTTTGTATCATTCACATTCTCAGGTCTTACAAAGCTGGGTGGAGTAGAGGAGGAGGCAACAGGGGAAGGAACCATTTGTTCTCCCATGAGCCTCTGGGGAGGCTGAAGGTCTCCTCACCTCCCCAGTCTTGCCAAGGTTCCTCAGTGCACCCTTCTGGGGCTGCACATTTCTAGCCATGTCCTTTTGGAGCCTGGTTGAAGGGCTCCTCGCCAGGGCTCCTCCTTTGTGTCCATTCACTCTCTCTGCCTGAACCCACAGCCTCTCACAAACCAGGCAAGCTTTCTTCCGCCAGGCTATACCGCCTGCCCTTAGAGCAGCATGAGACGGGGGCAGGATCCTCCTGCCAGAGACCCAAGGCATGCACCACCACACCCAGCCTTATAGCAGCAATTCTAATAGGTGGTCCCAGTGCGTCTCTTTAGTCACGGCTGAAATGGGATCAGTTTCTTTGGGTGGCACTAACTGCTCCTGATGGGGTCTCAGGCTAGTGAGTGAGAAATGTAACCAGACAGAACAAGGCTCATGTACATTCAGCCTGGGTGAAGGAGGGCTGGTCTGTGTGGGGTGTTGATAGCCAGAGCAAACTTTTATGTTCCCACAGTGTCAGTGACTGCTCTAGAAGTTTACATAATACAGTCCATTCTTACAATCCCTCGAAGCAGTTTCTTCTAACTGTTTCACGGTTGAACAACCAACCATCGACAAGTGGGTAAACTAGAAGTCTGCAGAAGCTGTAAGAGGTAGCCTACCTCAGCAGCTGGGCTCAGAAGGACCCACAGTAAATCAGGTTTTGGGGTGTTCTGCAGTTTTTTGTTTATAACCATCAGGGTGCCTCCCAAGTCCCCCCAGCCCCCCTTCAAATATCCAGTGCCACCCTTCCTGACTCCACACCCACCTGCTTCCGGAATTCCTGTTAGTCCCTCAGGTCAGATTTCCTGTGGAAGGTGGCCAGGATGGACTGTCCACACTCAGGGGTGGGGACAGCCACACCCTTAGCAGCACGGTTTCAGCTCCACGAAACAAGGGGGTGTGGTTTCTGGGGTACCCTCTTCCTGATTAGTTCTAGCTTCCATGGAACTGTGTGGCACAAATAACAATCGGAATTCAGACCTCTACCCTTCAGCCTTCCCATCCCCCACCTCAAAAGCAACCTAATTCACTCCCAGCTACCATTGGACCCCACCTTACTAACGTGCTGATTTCCCGTACGTCCCCTCCTCTCTCCTTTCAGGTAAGAACAGACCAAACACGGGTTCCTGCCTCGCCTCCTCGCCCCAGATGCAACCGAGCTCAGGGTTCGACCTCCCCAAACAGCACCTATTCTTGGAAGGATGAGCCCCAGAGGCCCTAGGGAAGGTGTCCCTGAACCAGAGGGAAAGGGAGGAGGATGTACGTTTTCATTAAGCGGCCTCTCGACAGAGCCCCAAACTTTTCCTAGACATTGCGGGTCCGCGTGTGCTTACCGAGGTCGCTTGGGGTGCCTGTCTAGCTGCTGGTCTAGGAGCGGGGACTCAAACTCTCCGCAGGGATCTCCGCGTGGCAAAGCGCAAGCGCCCGCGCTGTTCTGGAGAGACCCGCCGCCGGGGCAGAGGAAAGCGCTCGTGGGTCTCAGGACGGGGTGGGCGCCGGCGTCCGCGGACTTAGCGACGCTCCCCCGCCGAGCCACCGGCTTCAGCCCCGCCCCCCTGCGGGCCTCTGCAGCTCCTCCCGTCCTGCCTCCGTCCCCGACCCGCTCTGCGGTCTTTCGTGATCCTCTTCTGCTTGAGAGATTGCTGACACCTATGCTCCCCGCCCCACCCCGCGCCGGGCCCCTCGCAACACAGGCCACGCCCCCATGCATTCCCAGGCTCCGGCCCCGAGCGCCCTCTGGCGTCTGCGCATGCTCTCTGCCCCCGACTGCAAAGTCCTCCAAAGGGACCTTCTAGGCTGCCTGCCGGTTGCCCCCGCTCGGGTCGGCCCTCCCGCAGCGTCTCGTTGGTGCAGCCGGTGACCTCCGACCCCGCGGGAGCGGGGCGGGGCGGGGAGGCCTTAGCTGCGGGCGGGCGGGCGGGCGGCGGCTACTGCAGCGGGACCCGGGAGCGGGGCCCGGCGCCGCCCGGGCCGCGGGGCGATGTGAGTCGGGGTGCGGCGGGGCGGGGACCGGGCGGCTTTACCGAGACCGTGTCGTGCCGCGCCGCAGTCTCCGCTCCTACGCTAGAAAGCCCCAAGCGGGCCGGCTAGCGGCGGACCCGTGGGCTGGGGGCGGGGATGCAGGCTCGGAGGGCGGCCGCGACCTCCGCATTCCGTCTGGGTATCTAGAAAACCTGTAACCAGTTCTGCCTCTCGCTCCCCAGACCCCACCCTCTCCCCGGTTACACCTTCTGGTCTCCAGGATCCCGCAGAACCCCTTCACTCACCTCTCCAAGCCCCTGAAATACCCAGACACATCTCGTTCTCCCCTCAGTGGCCCAAAGGCTCCCGCAGTCACCATCCTGGAATTCCTCAACCTTTTCATTCTTTTTGCACCATGCCCGAATCCAAAATCCTCACCCATCTTCTCCCAGGGCTTCGCAAACCTTTTCAGACCGCAAACTTCCATCTAATGCCTGTCCCCAATCCTAACTACCACAGACCAGAGCCTCCCCCACCCCACGCAATGTAACCCCGCTCAATGGATCACCTAAAAATGCGTTTGATATCTCAGAGAAAAGAGGGGTGTCGAAAAGGTACAGTTTCTCCCCATCCCGCCTCCAGCAGCCCTTGGCTTCACAGTTCCCAACACCCTGTTGATAGTTTAAGCCCCCATGGACGTTTCGGTACCTGCCTGCACACACTTCTTCAACATGCTTCCTCCTTCCAAAGAATTAGCCAGACCGAGAGTGTGGGACGCCTTTACCTAAGGGTTGTGCAAGGCTTGCAGAGCTGGTGTGGGGACGGGACACTGGAAAGTACTGTTTTCCTGGAACAGGAGGGATTTCAAGAATGTTCTTCAGAGTCCTGGTTTGTTGATTCATCTACAAGGGGCTCAGATAATCTGAAACTTTGTCTCTTGTAACCGGCCTTTCTGACACTAGGAGCAGAAAGTCCCTCCAGCTTCCAAATGGGAGGTGCTTTATTAATATCTACTTCTAGAAGTTACTTCAACTAGAACTCCCACAGTTGACAGATATTTCCTTAAAAGGGGCGGGGGGCCAGAGTTAGAGGTGCTGGAGGGGAGAATGACAACCCCACCACCACCCAGATATAGCAACAAAACATTCTAGAATGTTGGTTTTCAGAGTCTCAAGCTGGTGCTCTTGCCCGGCTAGCATATGGTTAGTATTGTCCTGAGGAAGGTCCGGTGATGGTCCGAGTGGCCCTTGTACCAGAGGGCGCTCCAGCGATGGCTGTGAACTGAAGGTGCAGGGCATCCTGAGCTTACTGCCACTGCTCCTACGGAGTTGCTTCCAGGACTGAGAATTGTGGTCCTTTACCAGAGACTGTGTTCAGTGGCCTTTCTGGTAGGACCTGGGACCCACTAGGACCTAGACTAGATAAAAAAACTCCAGGTGGGATGCACTACTAACAAGCCTGTCTCGTGAAGAGTTGGGGCTGAGGATTGGTTTCCATTAATGTGTGCTCTCTGTCTTCTGTGCTAGGTGAGCCCCAGGTGTGACCCACAGGGATCCAGGTGACGTCTCTGCAGACTCTTTGCCATGCCACTCCACCAAGGACTGGGGGAGTAAAGTGGGAATTCTTTCCCATGCCCCTCCCATGGTCAGCTCCCCAATGGCCTGGGTGAGGTAAGAACTGTGGCTGGGTGTCACTTTTGTAGATTTTTTTAACTTGGGAGGAATGTAGGGGACAGGTCTCTGGATTGTTCAAGATCCTACCACAGCAGCAGAAGTTCCAGGATAATCCGCTGCCTCGTGAATTTTGCAGCAAAGTGTACCTGTTAAAACCACTGGCTGAGACTAGTAGCTCAGTGGCAGGGCCCCTGTGTAGCTACTGAGAAGTGCTGGGTTGCATTTCTAGCACAAAACCAAAACAACAACAGAACCTCTGTTTGGGCTCTGTCCATGTGTTTCTTGTTCCCTTAGGTCACAAAGGTCTAGGTGGTTTCCTCTCCATATTAAGGCAGAAGCCTGTCTGTTGTGACATGTCATCCAGTTACCAGTATCCTGAAGGGGAAAGGCAGCTAAGATTTCTTATCTGTGCTTTGGCCTTTGGGAAGAAAACTCAGCCTTCTGTTAGTGGTTTTAGAGCGCTGTCGATTGAGTCTGGTGCCTCGTGTGAAGCATCTACCACTGAGCTACATGCTGAGTCCCAGCTTTTTTTTCCTCAGTGAAGAAATACCTAATCAGTGTTTTACAAAAATCATGCTGGTGTCAGCCCAACCTGGTAGTATGCGCTTTTACTCCAGCCCTTGGAAAGTGGAGACAAGAGCTCTGTGCGTTCCAGTGTTCAGTCATTAAGTGTGGGGTTGTTTCACCAGGTGTTGGTGGCGCACGCCTTTAATCCCAGCACTCGGGAGGCAGAGGCCAGCCTGGTCTACAGAGTGAGTTCCAGAACAACCTCCAAAGCTATACAGAGAAACCCTGTCTCCAAAAAAAAAAAAAAAAAAAAAAAGTGTGGGGTTGTTTGTTTGTTTTAGTTTCTTGTTTTCATTTTTTTTCCCCCAAGACAAGCTTTCTCTGTGTAACAGCTCGGACTGTCCTGGAACACACTCTAGACCAGGCTGTCCTTGAACTTACAGAGATCTGCCTGCCTCTGCCTCCTGAGTGCTGAGATCAAGGGCACGTGCCACTGCCACCACCACCGGGCATAGCTCATTGTGTTTTATGATGACAGTGTAGCAACAGTTTACTTGAGGAGAGCATCAGAAATACTGATTTCCTGAGGATATTGTGGTGGGGCAGGAGAGCAAGTAAGAACGTGGATGGAGTGGAATGGGTGAGGTGAAAACTGAGGAAAAGAAAGGCAGGAAGGAGCCATGGTATCTGGGACACCAAGTGACACTTTGTTTGCTGAACCCAAATGAGGATGTCAGGCAGTCACACCGCCCACACCCGGTCATAGCCATGCTGCCTTTGCGGCCCAAGACTGTCCATGTCACTCCACAGGTGAGAGCCCTGTGTGCTTCCCGGGCCACGCTGACTGGTAACTTCTGAGAAGCTTGCCGTCCCCCACCTGCAGGGATCCTTAACTCATTCTACCTTGCATTAATGTTTATCCCAAGCGTGTTTGCCTGTGGATTGAGAAAGAATCCCCTCAGGGTGTGTCTGTTGTGCAGCCTCTGGTCCAGAGGACTCGTTCACGGTGCAGCGTTCTGCTCAGCGCCGCTGGGCAGGGTTGCTGGTGACCTGCTCATCCTTGTCTTTCCCTAGGGCAGAAAGGCTGCTCTGACACCATGGGGAGCTGCTGTAGCTGCCTGGACAGAGACAGTGTGCCACACAACCACCCTACCAAGTTCAAGGTACCCAGAGCCTCTCCCCCTCTTGTTGAGTTTAGGTCACCAGTGTCTCTGGGGAAGGGAAATGACAGCCGTGCTTGCACTCTTTAAGGGGCCTTATGCTTGCTCTTTGACATCTGAGGTAGTGTGAGTGTGTTGAGGAACCTAACTCTTGTTTTTTATTTTTGGTTGTTCTTTTTTTCCCTCCCTTGCCACCAAGAATAATGTGTTTTAAAGAGAGCATACATAGCCCCTAAGAGATACTACACGTTTCATGGACCTTGGCTCCCTACATCCCGTAGGAGGCGCCTTCTCCACACACTGGGGTTTGTCAGGGCCAGGGTTTCCTCTTCCCAACTGGAGAGGGAGCAGTTAGCAAGTTCTCTCAGTGGAGGGGTTGGAGGCTGGCTGTATTTATTTGTTCAGCCTTGGACCTGTCAGCAAGTCTCTAGGCTTTGAATTGGCAGTTAAACCCTTCCTCATTGACATCCCTGGCCTTTGAATATTGAGCCCCAGAAAGTCCTTGAACATTGGGCAGCTAACCACCTGGCCTTGGAGGTCAACAGGTGACCTGTCTGCAGATGACAGAGCTGAGGATCACAGATGAGATTTCTCCAGACAACTATCAGAAGCCCTGGCACTGCTCTGTGTCCCGAGAGAGCCAGTGTACCTGTGGTACAGCCAAGAACAACTCCGCATCCTGGCCCCAGCCCTACACAGCCCTGCCTTCCGGTGGCCCTGGGTTCTCCTGACCCTGTGTCCACTCTCCCTGCAGGTGACAAACGTGGATGATGAAGGGGTGGAGCTTGGCTCGGGGGTGATGGAGCTGACGCAGAGTGAGCTAGTACTGCACCTGCAGCAGCGGGAAGCTGTCCGCTGGCCCTACCTGTGCCTGCGGCGCTATGGCTACGACTCCAACCTCTTCTCCTTTGAGAGTGGCCGCCGCTGTCAGACAGGCCAGGGTGAGTAGCAGCTCTGCCCTCTAGGACAGGGGCGTGAGTTTATTATAGAATTGGAGAGTGGCACTTAACCTCCCACCCTCAGACATGGTGGTGTTGCTCAGAGCAGGGAAAGGGCCCACAGCCTGTTACTTGCGATCTGTGTGGACGCAGACCAGTACCCTCCACCCTTCAGCCCTGCTATGCTTCCTGGGAGCCTGTGTGGGAACACTTGTTGCGCAGTCCATGGAGCAGCCAGTGCTCCAGGTCAGAGCTACCTAGCAAAGGCAAACCTCTCTTCCCATTGCTGCCATGGTTTGGGGGGAAGGGGGACCTACTGCGCTTGCAGTAGGACGGAAACCTGAGCTACCATGTCGTGCACTCTGGGCTCCACACACAGTGGACGAGAGATCAGGAGAAGACCGGCTGCTCTGGGCTGAGTGGCTTGGGGTGGAAATCTGGGGACGCGGCGGCTTGGGTCTCTCATGTACAGATTAATCTTCAAGAGCCCGACCTTTGTCTGCCGTCTCCTGTGGGAAGTGGGAGGTACTGGACTCCCCCTGCCCGTGCGCCCTCTGCAGCCACAGGTCAGGGACTGGCAGATTGCTCCATGAGGTTGAGGCCTGGGCATGAGGTCTGGGCTTGCCTGTGATGTTCAGGGTGTGGCTCAGCAGCAGGAGTCCTTGGATCTGTGCTGTAGGTGGACAGGCAGAGGCCATCGGTGTCTCTCCTGAGACAGCAGCAGACCATGGGTCTCCCGGTTCATTGCTGCAGGCCCTTTTCTCCTTGCCTCTCGTCCCCGTAGTTCACAGGTACAGGAACACGTGGCATGTGAGCGGAGAGACGAGGCAGGGCAGTCTCACCCCTGGTGTGGCACTTGGCTCCTGAGAGGAATTGTCTGGGTTCCCAGTGCAGGGCTTCTCCCGATACCAGGCTTTCTCAGCCCCCGCCTCCTCCCTCTGCCTCTCCCTCCTCCTCCTCTCCCTCCCTACCCACTCTGAGATGGTCTTGCTATATGTGGCCTTCACTGGTCTCCAAGCTCACCTCCTCAGTGCTGAGCTCACAGCAGGTACATAATCTCTTCTTGGTGACAGGACTTCTTCCTGCTTTTACATTTCCTGTCAGAATAGCCCTGTTTTCTTCCCCATCTTTCTCATTCTGTTTCTACAAACTTCAATTACCTTTTACTAGGACTAATGGATAACAATATAGCAGTGACACAATACCCATTGTCCATATTTCAATTATATCCATCATTGTGTAGTTAATGGTACTGGGGTTAAACCCAGGGCCTGTGCATGCTAGGCAAATATTTTACCACAGATTCCACCCTGTCCCCGGATTTTGTGAGACAGGTTTTCATGGGTAGCTCAGACTAATCTTGGACTTGGTGACTAACTGGGTCTATAGTGCCATACCTGGTAATACCTGTCTTTGTTGTGTGTCCCCAGAGCTTCCCCGAGTCTGTGGTTCTTTCTGTTGAGAGCTCCAGGCTGGCATCTCAGAGCCACTGCATTCCAGGTGCTCGTCTGAGTCCTGCCACCTTGGGGACAGACTTGATGTAGAGGGCTTAGAGGGCAGCTGTACTCAGGAGCCGCGGGGCTGCCTTGCCATGCCTCTCTTCAGCCCTGCCCATCTTTCTCTTTGTACCGGAGCCCATGCTCTGGGAGGGACCTGTTTGCAGAGAGGTAGGCCTTTGCTTTCTGGCTAGCCTTTAGGCTGAATAGCCTGTGAATGATCTGGGAGGAGGCCAGACACAGCTGTCCTTAGAGGACTGTTGGGTAGAGTTGGCTGGATGGAACTCTTTTCTTTCTGGGGACCACGAGGGGTAGGTACAGAAAGTGGGGACAACTCTCTGGCTTCTCCCCTCACCCAGAAGGCCCCCATCCTTATGAAGACAGCTGTACCCTGGGGGATATGGCTGCAGTGCTGGTCTTGGGATGATAGTAGGGGTAGTGTGGGGGGCCAGGTGCTTCCGGCTCATCCCTGTCCCCTCCAGTGCCCTGGGATTCTGGAATGCCCCTGGAATGGATGCTCAGGAGAGGCACCAGTGTGGGACTGGCGTTCAGGGACACTTCCTCTTGATTGACTGATGCTCCCTAGCCAGTCAGGGATGGGAGGAGCCTCATCTCTTCCTTGCCTTCTCCAGGGATCTTTGCTTTCAAGTGCTCACGGGCCGAGGAAATCTTCAACCTGCTGCAGGACCTCATGCAGTGTAACAGCATCAACGTGATGGAGGAATCAGTTATCATCACACGCAACAGCCACGCCCCAGAGCTCGACCTCCCTCGAGGACCCCCACAGCCCGCTGGTGAGGAGACCCCCACCCCCGGAACCCTAGTGTAGATGCTCATGAGTGTGAGTCTGGGAGGCCCAAGTCAAGCTAGCAAACGGGACAGCTGGGTTGAGCCAGCTTCCCTGGATGTCCACCCATCATCAGAACCATTCCTGAGGATGGACCAGTCCTGGGCAGGGACAATTGGGTGACTCAAGCTGGAGCTGGAGAGTCCTGGGCCTTGGCTCAACTAATGGTTGGGGAGCAGACAGGAAGACGTTGGGTTGCCATAGAAACAGCAGTCTGGAGCTTTTTGCTTCCTTCTGTCTGCTGGGCTGGGTTACATACAGTATGCACCTCTCCAGGCTTGCTGGTGCAGCTGTCTCTGGCTGTGACTGTGTAGAGGTTCCCACAGTCTGTGCTTTTGGGTCACTGAGTCAGACTGCATAGCTGTTTATTGTCCTGTGTCCCCTGGTCTATAAGGAACAGAAGGGCTAGAAATGCCCCCCCATGTTGTGCAGTTTCCCTTGTGCTCACTGGCAAAGCTTGATGGGGTCATGATAGTCCAGGGGTGACAGGTGTACCTTCAGTGTCATAGTAAGGCTGTAATAGAATAGGAGGCTGGGTCAGCCTCAGGATGACTTCAAAGGCAGGGCAGGGTTCGACTGCAGGGGCTGCCAGTTCAGTGTGGTTGGTCACAATAGGGGCCTCCAGAGTGTCTTGCCTTGCTGTTGGAGGAGTTGCAAGGCACCCCACAGATGTGTGCATGTGATTGTAAATGGTGGTTCCCATACCCCTGCCCTTGGCCACCACCTCCAGGCTACACCGTCTCCAGCCTCTCCAATGGCTGCCCTGGCTGTCCTGGAGAGGGTCCACGGTTCTCTGCTCCCCGCCGACCCTCCACAAGTAGTCTACTACACCCCTCGCTTGGGGAAGAATCCACCCACACCCTCATTGGCTCCGAAGAGCAGGTGCGCACATGTTGGGCCACACTCTAGGTGGGGATGGTTCCTGGGGAAGGTCGTGGGAGGGGAAGAAACTGAGTAGGGCCCCTCTTACCCCTGGAAGGCGCAGCATGTTGGGAGGTTTGGAGGCTGCAGAAGAACTCTGGCTCTTCTCCTGTCTCTTCTGCTCTGTCCCTCTGCCATCCCCCTTCCCAGTGCTTGACCCCACTTGCTTCCCTTAACGCCTTCCCCCCCCCCCCCCCGCAGTCGCACACCTACGTCAACACGCCAACGGGTGAAGACGACCACCGCAGGAGTCGCCACTGCCTCCAGCCACTGCCTGAGGGCAGGGCACCCTTCCCAGCACAGACACGGGTTTCCACTCAGCGGGATGCACAGGTCTTCTTGCAGCCGGGGCAGGTCAAGTTTGTGTTGGGCCCCACCCCTGCTCGTCGACAGGCGATGAAGTGCCAGGCCCTCTGCCCCAGCATGCACGACCCTCCCCATCACAACAACAACGAGGGCCCTTCTGAGTGTCCAGCCCAGCCCAAATGCACCTACGAGAATGTCAGTCAGGGGAGCCTGCGGCAAGGGTCTGGCTGGAGACTGAGCCCAGAGGAGCCCGGGTGGAGTGGCCTGGCCCACCGTCGGGCTGCCCTGCTGCACTATGAGAACCTGCCCCCTCTCCCCCCTGTGTGGGAGAGCCAAGTCCAGCAGCTGGGCCTGGGCGGGGAGGCCGGGGATGATGGGGACTCCAGGGATGGGCTTACACCATCCTCAAATGGCTTCCCGGATGGTGAGGAGGATGAAACGCCCCTACAGAAACCCACCAGCACCCGGGCCTCTGCCCGTAGCCACGGCAGCTTCCCTGTCCCACTGACCCGCCGCCGAGGCTCCCCAAGGGTCTTCAACTTCGATTTCCGCCGGCCAGGCCCTGAGCCCTCAAGGCAGCTCAACTACATCCAGGTGGAGCTCAAGGGCTGGGGCACAGACCGTCCCAAGGGGTCCCCGAGCCCCTCCGTGTCTGGAGCTCCTGGGCCCACCCCACACCCTGTTCGAAGCTCAGACTCCTATGCCGTGATTGACCTCAAGAAGACCGTGGCCATGTCCAACCTGCAGAGGGCTCTGCCCCGAGATGATGGCACTGTCAGGAAGACGAGACACAACAGCACAGACCTGCCTCTGTAGAGCTGGTCCTGTCGGCCTTGCCTCCTGCAGGGAGACCTCCACCTCACCCGCCAGCCCGGACTCACAGCTGCTTTGCAGAAAGACTCTGGGGTAGACCAGATGTCTCCCTGCATTGCTGGAGTCCCCCAAGCTGGGGAGAGGGGAGGGTGAGCTGGAGAGGAGGCAGCCATGATGTAAACTGTGAAGGGTTCCCAAGGTTGCATTTTGCACCCTTCCCTAATGTCCGTTTGTCTAGTATGTCAGCTGTCTGTCTTTGTATGTTTCTTTTCTTTATTTCTTTATTTCTTTTTTTGGTTGGAGTTTTGAAACATTTTGTACCTGTTGATTTTATTTATCAGTTTATTTTTCTATTTATTGTTTTAAATGTAACTTAACATATTTATTATTAATATAATTATTTTTAAATTCTGGTTCAGTGAGTGCTATCTTCTTGTGCAGTCTTTCCTGGTAGGGGTCAGATAGGCATAACAGGGAGGCCTAATGGAGATAGTGGCTTCGTTCTGGCAAATCCAGGATGGTTGTCAAGTCTGTGGTCATTTCTTTTTCTTCTCTAAGAAGCCCCTGTCTGATACTTGTACTTTCCAGGGATCCCAGATGTAGAAGGAGCTGGAGAAAAGGTGCCCATGGCATTCTCCTTACAGGCTGGAATGGACCAGGAGAGGAGAGCCCTTTCCAAGACTCCTCTGCATCCCCCCACAAGCCCCGGGCCCACTGCTGCCCCTTAATATGTTGACCCAAAGGTAGACCACACTTCTCTTCAGCTGCCCCCAGCACAGCTGAGCCCAGGCCAGAACCTTCACACAGAATTTTGCTAAAATCTCAGGAATAGCCCAAGAAAACCATGTCTGGCCAGCCTTCCAGCCTGTCAGTGAGGCTTTCCTGGAGAGCAACTCCAGGATGGGCCACCCCAGGGCCTCTACCTCACCTCAGGCCCAGCAGATCTCCTGCCGCCCCCATCACTCAGGCCACCTGCTGCCCTCTTGTGGCAGGGACCCTTTCTTCCTCAGGCTGTTTGTGCCTCCCCGCTGTGATGAGCTCTGTGGCCTAAGTGAGGATGAGAGCCTGCTTGCCTTTTCTCTGGGCACTTTCGTGAGCCGACTCCTACCCTGCGTAATGAGCATGTGGCCCCCTTCATCAAGGCAACAGTCCAGGACTGGCTCACTGGTTTCCCTCTGTCACCATCTGGCCTCTTTTCTGTGTGGAGATTAGGCTGAGCGTGCCTGCCTGACTGTGGGTGTTACCTACACTCCTGAATAGACAGAGAACTGGGCACAGCAGGATTGAGAGAGTCCCCTCAAGTGGGACCCAGCAGGATCCAGAGGAGACTGCTGCTGTCCTCAGGGGCTGCGGGCCACAGACCCTTCTCCCTCTGCAGCTCTGTTGATCTCTGGACTGGGCGTGACCGTCTGCAGAACAGTCACTGCAGCACTGTGGTAGGGTGTCCTGGCCACTGCAGGTGGCTTTAGTACTGCCCCTGTGTCCTCCAGCATACATCCCCCCATTCTTGGGCCTCCAGTCAGGAGGCCTTGCATCTTGTCTGCACACAGGAAGGTCAAGGAGGTCTGCAGGGGACAGAGTGAGCACATACGGGTGTGCCAGGATCAAGCCTCGGGACCACAGCCATACTTCCACAGTTACCGGTCCATGCTGACAGACTGGCTCCGCCCCCTACTCGTCTCTTGCCCAGCCCCCTTCCTCTGCTTCTCTCCCTGTACCCCTTGAGGGAATGGAAGCCAGGGCTTCATGCATACAATGCTGAACTACACCCCTGTTCCACTGACGGCAGAGGCTGCTGGAGTCAAGAGACCAGATTCTGTCCCTGGCTCCACCACTCTGCTGGGCTAAATGGAGCTAACGTGACAAGCAGCCAGCAGGTGATGATGGGACTCCACTTTGAGAGTAGACAGATTTCAAGTATGGCGCCCGCACTTTAGTCCCAGCACTTTGGAGGTAGATGAGTTTAAGGCAAGCCTGGTCTACATAGCAAATTCCAGCCCAGTCAAGATACATAGTGAGATCCTGTCTCAAAACCAGAGAGCCCAGCTGTTTGTTCATGAGGGACGACAATCAACAGTTGTCCCCTCTCTTGAGGCCTCCAACCTCAGATTTGTTGCATTCCTTTAGAGACGCTTATCCTCATTCTCCTGGCTCCAAAGGCAACTGACTCCCTGGGTCCCCAGAACAAGTCACCATTGCTTCAGTGGGAAAGGCCATGACACAGGTCCCAGGAATTGGACACAGCCCAGTGGGCCCTCAGCCTGCCCCTTCCCCTCTGCCTGTGACCCACATCCACTACAGGAAGTTTCCTCTCCCAGGGAGCGGGGAGAGTGTGAGAGGGCAGCCTTCCTACAGGAAGGGATGGATGGGTAGGTGTAGGCACAGTGCCCAGGAGGATAACAGCTGCCCCTGGGTTGGGACCTGTCCCTCAAAAGTCAGGCCTGGGAGCTTAGATAGAGTCAGCCATGCTGTCCAAAACTCATTAACCAACATTAGTGGCTGAGCGCTCCCTCCCTTTTCCTTCGAATCAGGCGTTGCCAGCCCCTGGGCTTCCCTCAGGAGTGGATAGGATCCAGCATCCTGTCCGTGAGTGACATTTCAGGTCAGACCGGAGAGGCCCTCCCCAAACCCACCCCCGAGTAATAACAAGGCTTCACCAAATCTATACACAGAGCGGCTTTCCACAGAGGCCGACACCATCTATCACTGTCAGGCCTCACTGGGCAGGTTTTGTTATCGCCGTGTCCAGGAGAGGAAACGGGTTGGGAGGTGAAGAGATTCACCTCAGGCTATGAGTTAATTAGTGGCTTGTACTGGGGCTGGATGCCAGTCGTGTGGCCGCCCCCGTCCCGTCCTGTCCCACCCCTGCTCTGGGCCAGGCCTGGCCTGACTGGAAACCGCTCCCCCTGCCCAAATGACTCCATTCTCGATAGAACCACATTCCAGTGCCCCCACTTGCAAATCCTTTGGAATTCTAGGCCAGGACCTGCCCCTCCCAAGCCTATCCAACACCCACAGACCCACCCTGCCGCTATGCCCTTGGACACCCTCAGGGATAGCTCCTTCTGCCTATAGGATGGGCCAAGGCAGGTGTGTGGGAGGCTTGCCCTGGCCTGCCCTGATTTCTCCTTCTTGTGGGTAGGAGGACCTCTCAGGTCAGGTCAGGCTCCAGGATCCTGAGTCCAGGGTGCTCCAACAAGTACCTTCAAGTGAAACCCTACTCAAGGTGACGGGGTCATGATCATTTCTACAAGGCCTCCAGAAAAGCCTTGGCAGTCTAGGTGGAGAAGAGCTGGGCCAGGGTGAGCAGGGTGCAATGTCCCAGCCCAGGAGTATTAGTTACCTGTCTCATTGCTGTGTGAAAAATCTCCGACACAAACAGATAATGGAAGACAGACATGCAGCAGGACTGTCACATCCCATCAGGAGCTGAGGTTCAGCTGGCTTCCTCCTCGTCCTGTCTGGGACCCCAGCCATGGAGTGGTGCTGTTCACATGTATGGCGATAGAATGGGGCCGCCCACATGCATGGTGGTTCTTCCTATCTCAACTGACCTAGAAACTCCCTCTCAGATGTCTCAAAGGTCTGTCTCCCAGGTGATTTAAAACTTTGTCAACCAAAGTTAACCAGTACAGGGCTGGGAAATGGCTTGTCAGATAAGAACACACCCTGCTCATGCAGAAAGGCCAAGTTGAGTTCCCAGCATCCATGTCGGTCAGCCCACACCTCCTGTAACTACAGCTCCCACGCCTCTGTGGGCACATATACATATAACATGATCATAAATACAAGCATTTTTCTGTTGTTTTTAGAGACAGGGTTTCTCTGTAGCTTTGGAGCCTGTCCTGATACTCCCTTTGTAGACCATGCTGGCCTTGAACTCACAGAGATCCACCTGCCTCTGCCTCCTTAGTGCTAGGATTAAATACATATGCCACCACTACAATAACAATAAAACTTTTTTTTTCCGAGACAGGGTTTCTCTGTATTGTTTTGGAGGCTGTCCTGGAACTCGCTCTGTAGACCAGGCTGGCCTCAAACTCACAGAGATCCGCCTGCCTCTGTCTCCCGAGTGCTGGAATTAAAGGCGTACGCCACCAATGCCCGGCGTTTAACAGCAAATCTTTAAAAAACCGAGTTAACCGCCGGATGGTGGCGGCACACACCTTTAATCCCAGCACCCAGAGGCAGAGGCAGGCAGATTTTTGAATTTGAGACCAGCCTGTGCTACAGAGTAAATTCCAGAACAGGTCTACACAGAGAAATCCTGTCTCCAGAAGCTAAAACAATAACATCACGACTAGCTGGAATCCCAGCATGCACATGCCCGGCATGGTCACCAGTCTGTTATCCAGTCTGCTCAAGCCCTTCCGGGGACAGGGTCACCACCCCAGGAGTCCTCTCTCCTCTCCACCCAGTACTAATTCTGCTCGCAGCCTGCCCATGACTAAGGCAGGTCTCTCTGCTAAGGGTGCTGAGCCCTGAGACTCGGTGGCACCATTTGACCACTTGGCATCAGTTTCTTCGTTGGTCACATTGGGATAATAACAGTCCCCTCCTCCAGGAATTACTGCACGAGTCAAATCAGAAAATGAAAATGCCACCCCCAGCATTAGCAAAGCAACTGGCTTGTAGTCAAGTGTCCAGTAAATGGTAAGTGATGCTCTCTTCTGCATTTGGTTCTTCCCAGCATGCCTTCTGAGCTCTTGCTTGAGCCATGGCAGAAAGCAGCAGCCAGGCCTGGCCTTCGCTTACCTCCAACCAGGCGTAAGTGTCACTTCTCTCCTGGGAGTCAGACCTGGCCTGAAACCATCTTTCTGTATAAACTCCTGCCATGGTCCTTGTCCCCAGCCCTAGCCAGGGTGGGAGTTGTTAGGCAAATCAAACTCTGAATGGTCCATGCAGCCAGCTGTTAGCCCTCTCGGCCCTCTAAGTATGCCCTAGGCTTGAGCAGCACCAGTTCTTGCTGTGGGCGTGGAGGTGACGAAACAGTAGCTATGGGAACTCAGAAAGGGGCTGGCAAGCGGGTCTCCACGGGCCTGGGACACGTGAGTTTGGCTTCAGTAGCCCCGTCCCTTGGCTTAGTGCTTCCTGAAGCTTCATCCTGTGCTGGAGTCTGCTCTGTCTCTTGTCCTGCTCCTTGGGTAGACACCTCTCTGGGCCCCATTTCTCCAGGACGGACACTGCTGGCGGGGATGCCCCTGACCTGGGGACCAAGGGCATCACACCTGTGCCAGATGTGAGGTGTTATTACTATGATCATTGGTTTTGGACAGTGCAGGGTGTGGCACCCCCACTGAACTTGTGACCTACGTCTGTGACCTCCCTTCTTCAGTTGTGTC